TTAAAGTATGTGTGCTGTGCTGGACAGCTGGGATCAGTCCAGAGCCAGGAGGGGTAGGATACCCTCTCTGGGGTGTTTGGCTTCAGACCTGCTTACACTGCATGGGGCTTCCCTGAAAGTATGATGACCATACTGCTTGTTTCTTTCCTACCGACGGGAGAAATGTGCAATCCTACTGCTCTGTTCACAAACATTTCTCCAACCTTTATGTCCTGCCCCATGTCGTGGGATCTTCCCATGGAACTTCAGTCTCAGTTTATGGTGCTGGGCCACAACTGCAGGAATGTCTGTTATAGATCAACCACTGTCCTGAAACACTTGGAGCACAGTAAGGTCCAAAGCCCTATGTAGCCTTAATTTTCTTCATCCAAGGCACAGATTCTATGAAGGTGGGTGGGGTGGAATGGGGTGGGGTTGGGATTATGACAGTACTACTGATTTGGGACTCCCTCAAGGAAACCCCAAACATTGATTCTTCGTTAACCACACCACCCCCAGGCTATGAAGGATGTGACTCTGGGCTAACAGTCAATTCTCAACTCATCTATACAACAAAATGAAAGAAGGAGTCCTGGTATATCTATTTGCTGTTCTCTTGGTCTTACAACAGCACAAGACACCAAACACCCTGATTTCTGAGCCTCCAGCTTTAGATTCCCATTAGAAGTTGGAGAACTGTTCTCTGGTCAGGGAGGTTGGCTGGTCTTTGTATAAAGCAGGACCCTATGTTCATGAGGTGCTGGTGAAGCTGGGGAGAAGGTGGCTAGGATCTGGGAACCTTGTTCTTGTTATGGGGCCAGGCAGGATGGTTTCTGTATCCCGAGGAACTCAGTTTGCCAAAGGTGTCCACTGCTCCCCGAGAAGGTAGAAAAAAGAGTGCTGGGGATCGACAATAATGGACATCACGTTTCCTTTCAGCCTCTGTAGTTTCATTCCACCTGCAAGAAGCAAGTGGTGCTGGAAGCTTTGCAAGCAAAAATTGCTGAGATTCAGAATCTGGAGGAAATATCCAAGATGGAAGGGTTAGCAATGCCTTAGTTGTTTCAGTGGGAAGGAAATGGCCTAAGGAATACATGTGGAAATGAGAACACTAATGCAAACATAGCAGATCTTTCTTAAAAGAGCTACACCCAGAAAGGTATTTTACCTTTTTAAGAAGGGAGGGTTGGGAGGATAAGTGTCATCAAGACAGCCACTGTAAGAGTGGTGATATTCTGTATGAATTTACTAGGGACTGGCAGCGTCCTACCAACCAAGAAAGCAACCCGTTCCAAAGTGTCAGAACCCCATACAGAAATGCCCTGGATGTGGCCAGGAAATGTGGCAGAAAACAGAAACCAGACTGTTTCCTGCCCTGCCTTGTCAGCTCATCCTGGTTCAGCCTACCACACTCAAGTTGGTCATGATTTCAGCTATTCTTTGGCTACAAAAAAGCAAAAAAAGGAAATGAGAGGATTCTGTTTCATCTGAAGAAACTTGGTCTCCCTGCTCTCACTATTCAGTGTCAGGGCCATGGGCCAGTCCAAGGAGATGGGAGATGGTTATCAAGCAGTACTCCTTCATGTAACTCCACCTCAACAAGGTGTGAGGAGGCGGAGTGTGTTTGTTGCTGGGTAAATTTCACAAAGTATTTATCTTTCTCGTATGGACTTCACTTATTTGTACCTTTCTCAGTTTTCTAACAGTTATGTTTTAAGTTCCTGTTTTCTGTTTTGCATTTAAGCTTATTTCTTCCTAAGAGCTTGATGCAAAGCCCAGTCAAACCAAATTTGCCCTGAGTAATTGTTATGTCTTTAACAATCTTAATACAGCTTCTTAAACAAGTTCTGTGTTTTTCATCTGGGAGTATCAATAAGCAAGTGCTGACAATAATTTAAGTTTTTATTAACTTGTTATTAGTGGCCTAGACAAAGAACCTGAAGTTTGTATATAGCTGTAAAGTCTAATCTAATCTGATCTATCTATCTGATATACTTGCCTGGGCAATCAGCCACAGCTTGATAGCTGGGAGAGTATAAAGTTCACCTGCCAAATAGCTGAAATGACAAAAAAGGACAGAAGCTGAAAAGCAATTATTAATTGATGTGTTTTTGATTGAAGTTAGCTGCTATTGATCATCTCACTGCTTAAATGAACGAGGCTCATAATGTAATCTTTATGCTGAACATTGATACACCATGCGCCATGCACCTTCCTCATTGATCTGTTGTACATTGGCAAAGTTATTTAGCATCCCATTACATGAAAATCAATGATGAGATCATATTACACAATCTGAGGCCCAACTGTGGCACTTTTATTAAGATATGTAGCACACTGTCACCACAACAGAGGAATTCATTTGCGGGACTCTCAGTCGCCATCAATCTGTGGGATGCATATGTATATCTGTATGTACAAAATTAAAAGAAGTAACTGCTACTTTGAAATCATATTATATCAGCTGATGAGCAGTTTTATAAGATATTTCATATTAAAATGTGCTGAAATGCTTTTCTAAATTTTTCCGCATCTCCTGCGTGAAGTTGCAGTAATTCATTCTATAGAGATTTTTATACTGCACCATATGCTTTCAGACCGTAGCTGTTTTACATCGTTAGCATAACCATGTGATAAAATTAGAGCAAGGTCTTGATATGCTGTCCTGTCATGGCACTTTGCCAACTCACAGCCAAGCTTGGAACTTGCTGTGGGCGAACTGGTGCACGCACCGTCAAATTTCGTAGCCTTTGATGAGCTGTGGGTCTTGAGGTGGCAGTAACCAGGAGCACTTACTGCAGTCAGGTTCATAACCAAGCTACAAGGGGGGACAAATTGTCTAGCTAGAGATGGGGACCATTATGAATACTGGCCATATCCATGATCCACTGTGCTGATCCTGCATGTTGTTTAATTCCTGTTAGGAATGCAGTCTTCACCACCCAAGTGTTACTGCGTTTTATTTTCATCTCATAATCTAGCATGTCCTTTAGCAGCAGTATGGAAGCAATTTTTCATCTTTTCTGCTTCTGCCTCCCTATCCATCTTCACAAAATCTTCTTAACCTCAACTCAGAAGTTTGTTTCATCTAAATCTGCTCAGAAAAGGTCATCCCCACACTCTAGCAGCTTCCATCTAAGCATCTTGTTTATGTAGATTTTTTTTTGCAAGGTTTCTAAAACATTCAAATTATTTCCTGGATATTTTCTCAAATTCTGACAAAGTATTTTCACTCCATATGTTGCTGATTCATGTATGTCACAGACTGATAATCTGCTTCAGGACTGCAAAGAAGAAATGCATGTTGACTTTATGCAGTTAGCTTTCATGGGTTGAGCAACTTGCTGCTCCTGTAATTGGGGCCTGTTTTTTTTTTTTTTTTTTTTTTTTTTTTTAAGTTGACAGTATCTGGAAAGATATCCAGCCATTGGGGATGATATCCCTTTTTGTGCTGAATCAAGCATTTTGTGTTCGTCATTGGAAATTTTAATCTGAATGAAACAAGAAAGCTGCGTTTGTATCTCTTGCAAGTGCTTAATTTCTCTAAGAGCAGCTTACTCCTGGAGAATGTCTGTGATTTAATTTGTGGCTAGTCCATTTACCTTCTAAAACTGCTGAATACAACTCTGTACCATCATTTCAAAGAAGACCAAATGTTATATTGAGTATTAGTCTGCCTATCTGTCTGTCAGTCCAACCATCTATCCATCCATTCATTCATCTATCTATCTATCCTTATACTCCCATCCTTAGGAGTAACTAAACACTTCCCAGGTAAATCAAATCTGCATTGGTATGGAGAATCATTCATTCGCAACAGCTGAGCCCACTAAAAGCAGATTCTTGCCATAAAAGTCATCTGATGCTGTGGGTGAATTATCAGTCCTTGTAAACACTGTGCTTCTAGATGTAATTTATCCTAATTTAGCTCTTGTTATTGTCTTGTGTATTGTCTCTGAATAAGGCAATCTTGAAAATGCAGTCTAAGATACACTAATGAATACTGAAAGTCTGCAGTGGAGTTGACCTGAATGTTTGCAGCTTCTCTTCTCTACCTGGTGACACTATTACAGATTTATTTTTTTTGGAGCAGGCATGTTATTGCAAAATACAATTTTTCATGGCTTTTGTCCAAAAATGATATTTTGGCAAGAAAAAAATTAGCAGTATTGGATAACTTCCTAGCAGTGGGCAATTATTATTTTAGGGGGACAATTTTTAACAACCATGTATAGCTTGCTCTGAGACTGACTTTCCTGTCCCATCCACACCTAACATTCTCTGCAACTCCTCTCTGTGCAGAGGCCTGGGACCCTGAGGAGCAGCATCAGTCTTTACCATGAAATATCTCCAACAGATGCTGCAATTCCATGTGTTAGCATCTTGGAACCCCTAGTCAAATAAATGGTTCATGAACTTAATTATTAATTGAGTCATTAATTAATTAATAATTATTGAGTCATGGTTAGTCTCCCTTGCTAGCTTACGGCCTATTGCTCTAGATAAAGCTTTTCCTCTTACTGACATGCCATAGGCCACACTAGTCCTAGACAATGCAGAGGGAAGGAGCAGCCAAGGTATGCTGAAGTTTGAGACCTCCTGCAGTGGAAATCCCCCCTGTTATTTTAGGTATTGTAATTCCATTATGACACCATACACCAGTGCACACACAAACACTGCCCTGCAGGCTGAGTGCTTGCCGACACATGCAGGTTAGCAGCAGTGACCAGGGAGATGCTCTGCCTTCTAGTGCATCTGCTCTCCAGCTTGACTCCTGTGCCTGCAGCATTCCCAAGGGTCAATCCTCAGCTTTTCCAGGGCACCTCTGAGTAGCTGTGAATTGGAGATAGCCCTGTGGGGAAGTCCTGTGCACATTGTGAATGGATTTCTGTACTCATCACATTCTTCACTCTGTGGTCCGTCACCAGACTGAAATGCATGCTCAGCTCTTTACATAGGGATCCTGCTGAGCTTCTGTGTCTTGGGCAGCACTGCCCTTCAGACGGAGGGCTGAGTCTTCCCCCCAGAGCTTCCTGGGGCTTTCCCTTTGTTCTGGCTCTTGCCTGGCAACCTATTTTAGCTCGGACAGAATTGACCCCACTTATGTGGCACTTAACAACAAATTATAGCCAGCAATTTGGAGCTTCTGTCGTTTGTTATTTAAATGTATTTATTCCTGGTTATCACCCTACTACTGCAGCCTCAGAAGCTGGGATAAAGGCAGCAATTAGCAAAGCAAAACCTACATGCAATTTACTCCTGGTGTAATAGCTCAGGGCGACTGGGGCATGACTCCAGCTGGTAAGGCTCTGCTCTCTCCTCCCTTCCTCTGACCTGGGTGTGAGCTGGCTGCCTCAGCCTGTGGATGTGAGGGCGCTGAAGGGATGCCAGCAAGTCCCTGCACTTTCATGCCACTCCTGTTGCTAAGGCAACTCCATCTTTTGGCTGCCAGAGCTCTGATCCGGGGCTGCACTGTAACACAGATAGTGGGTAGTGGGAATAATGGGATAGAGAGCTCCATCCTGGAGGGTGCTGGGGTGTGGGCTGAATTAAACCAAGCAGGACCCAGGTAGGGTTCTACGTTTGTGTGGGGTTGACCCTGCGTGTGTGCAGAGGCCACCAGCAGTGTGCAGGGTGTAAGGTGCAGGGGAGCAAAGGGGCAGTGTAAGATCTGGGGTTGATGCAAAGGGCTGGTGCCAGCCGTGTGAAGGTGTACCATGGTGGTTTGGTGAGAGGGCAGGCAGTGAGTGATTCTGGATGCTGTTGGCCTTGGCTGGCTGTGGTGGGGGTGATCACCTTTGTGACATCTCTGTGTGGAAACTGGCATAGGGACTTTCGTGTCCGTGTACATCTCATGGGAGGCATCTCTGTGCTGAAGACCATTCCCCTGGGTGCCCCTGGGGTGGCATGGTGGGGAGGCCAGGCAGTAAAAGGGAAAACAGCTGAGCTGTGTCCTGGGGTTTGGTGGACTGCTCCGGTGAGTAGAGATGTGGGCATGACTCTGAGGGCATGGGGGTGTGCCTTGTGTCCACAGACCAAGATACCTGCTGGGTAAATGGGCCGGACTAGAAGGCTGTCCTGCATTAACACCACTAGGCCTCTGACATGGTCATCCTGCCTGCCTGAGTAGGGCTGTGGTGGTATCTCCTCAACCCATCCCTTCCAAAAGAGAAGAGCTCTTCAGATTCCTGCACTTCTGCAGGTGGACAAAGCCCTCAGCATTTGCTTTGTGTTAAAACAGGCCATTTATTAGCTGGGAAATGACGGTCTGTGCCCATCAGGGGGTGGAGAGTGCACACCAGACCCACATGTGCAGGTCTGCACTTTCTCATCTGTGTGTCAGTGACAGCACTGCAGCAGTGTGATTAAGTGATTCGCCTTCATCCCCCAGCCATTGAAAGACACTGACCCCTTCCCCTCCCCAAAGCTTAGACCAGCCAGTTTCAGGCTAGGCTGAAAGCAATTGTCAGGAGAATAAACTGCAGTGTGCTGCTTCCAGACTGCCACAGCAGAGGGGGCTTGGTAGTCAGGGTGAACCTAAAACGATAACCCTGCATCAACAGGGACAGTCAAACAGCAACATCATAAATCTCCATATGCCTTTCATCCCCATACCTGGTAGCATGCAGGTAGGATGAAGTCTTTTCCATCCTGTGCCGCCCTAGACTGCACCCTGCGTGTCCTCCAAGAGCAGTTCAGCTGAGGAGTCTTCTAGCTGTCACCTCTTAGGTCCTCCCAGCCACCCTGCAGCACTCCCACTACAGAGCCAGTGGCTCTGTTAGAAGACAGCTCAGTGTCTTCTCCTAGGGAGAGACCTTCTCTGAGCCTTTGCTCTCCCATGGCTTTCAACAGGATTCCTCATTGCTCTTGTACGGTAAGTTTCTAAATCTGCACTAATTCTTTACACCAAATGCATTGGTGCTTTTATCAGACATTTTTCTGATCCTAGCAAGGAATCCCCCACGCACTATTTCATACCTTTAGTTTTTCTAATATGCTCAAAAAAAAAAAAAAAAAAAGAAAACAGAAGGCATTAAATCAGCTCTGGTACTTGACAAAGCAGTCTAAATTTTTATTTACATCTGGCTGAAGCTTTCGACTGACATTTTTCAAAATAAAATATGATAGGAAATACTCATTTTGATGCCATGTTCCATTTTAAAAATGAGATTCTAAAGAAAGTACTTAATTTCAGCTCAAAAGTTTGCTGTAATCACGAATACCAATGTCAGAAATGGAAACAGAGCCTGCAAAGGAAAACACAGCTATTTTGTAATCTTTCTCATTCCTGCTAAGGAGGAAAACTTGTGACAACCCTACTTAGACTCATTCTACCACCCAGCTTGAGTGATGGTCCCCTCTGAGCTTCTAGTTTGTGCATTTATGAAAACAGCTCACAATGATTAATCTTTGTTGTATTACTCAGTGCTCCTTGGTTGTAGTTTCATTCATGAGCTGATACTCAGTCCTGCAAATGGATTCATTATTCATATGGATGCTGTAAGTGCACGTAAATCATTTTCATTCTCCAGGGTTACCAGAAACTCTTTGTTGTGACAACTGACTGCTAATTACTATTCAGTACATGTGATAGGTCAGTTGAGACAATTTCTATCCCTTTATTGGGTTACTGAGTCTTTTTACTAGGAGAGTAACAATTAAAGGTGAGTGAAAAATGGTCATGACTGCTTTCAGCATCTAAAAAAAAAAAGTAATCCACACGCAGAGAAAATACTGGGAGAGAATTGACAAACACAGCAAAAACAGCAGAAAATAATTAACAGTTATTCATTGATTGTGTGTTGATGTGCTCTGGAGGCTTTACTCAATATTTCATGCTTTTTCAGCAAACAGGACGGGTGGAAATTTGCTCTTGATATTTTGATGATAACTACATGAATTCAGCAGATGGGGCTTAAAGAAAACATACCAGGTACTGTAAAACTTGTAAAGAAAGTCATGAGAATTATAGACAGCAAACATTCCCAAGCAAGCATACAAACATACTAACTGTTAAAATTGTGACAATTCCATGAAGCAGCCTCCTTTCCCAAATCCTGGAGATGGAGAACAAAGCAACTTTGCCATGCAATATTCCTAGTCTCTGAGCATATTTCATTAGTTCTTTGTGGCTTCATCAGAGATACTCCTGCCTGACAAAGTAAAAGCAGAGCAGGGCCCATGTTTTACACAAAGCAAGGTTCATTTGTATAGAAACGAGCTGCCGTACAAGAGATAATGGTTTATTATTGCACTTTGTGGTTCTCCATTCATTCACAGCTCATGTGACTCTAGCTACAGCCAAGTCAGTTTGAATTAATTTCTCAAGTATGGCTTCATGAGACAATGCATCAGATGTTTTAATAAAATTCAGACAGGCTGCTGCTATCAAGGTCCTTTCAGGCGTTAATTAGGGGTTTCTATCAAAAAAAAAAAAAAAAAGCAATAATTTTTTCTGGTACTGTCTTTTTGTGATTCTGATGCTCTCAGTTCCATCCTCCTGGATGTTTATAAATTCCTGCCTTTAATATTTAACATGTAGTACATTGGTTTACCAAGGATTAGGCAGATATTACAGCCAGCTCAGTGCCAAAAGCACTCTGTTTTGCTTTGTTCAAGATGGCTCTCACATCTGCTTTGTTTCACCCAGTCTTGCCTTTCCTTTGCTCTCTAACTGAACAGAAATAAATGTCATTATTTTCATCCATTCCTTAAGTAAACTCTGTGGCCCTCTGCCTGTGAGTTTGCTACGTCCTATGATTTGCTAATGCTTTACTTTTGCATTACATGTGTGTTCACTAACTTCTTAAGAGCCTTAGTATTTCCTCGATATGGAAGAACAGCATGCAAGTCAGCTGGGACTCGCTGTCTGCTTTAAGTGAAGTTTAAAGAAACCCAGGCGTTTCAACTCACTTTCTTTTTGCTTGTGATTTCAGAAACCACTTGACCAGGTCAGAAGCCTCATGACACATGCTCTCAGCGCCCTATGGTCATGGGCTGTTACAGTCTTCCCTTTGGTTAGGGTGGTGATGACAGATGAAGCTTTGATTTTTCTTTGTGAATAAACCACCATGATTCCAAGTACATTGGCAGTCCAGAGCCCACTCACAAGGCACTACTAAGCAACTAGGGACAGAGACAGTAATGGATGCTTCAGGTCCAACAGGATAACTCTTCTATACCATGATGGGTTTAATCCTGGCCTAGCTCAGGATGTGGACCTCTGAAAAAAGCTGCAGTGGTCTAAAGGATCCTCAGCCTGGTATCCACCATAGGCTGGGTTGGTCATCAGCCATGCCCAAACTGATGTGTGATGGGTCATCCATTGACAGACTGATGTTCAGAAAGTGGAGACTGGCTGCAACTCAGTGAACCCGGTGTCCAAATGGATGGACCAACCCAAACTGGATCTGATGGGACACCAGGCTGATTTGCATAGAGAGGCTGAGTCCATCCCACTTGCACCCAAGCTGGGTCTAGCAGATCTTTATACGTCCCTACAGGGGTCTGGCATGCTTACTGGGCTATCTGCCAATTTTCTGCACATATTCCCTTATTGCTCTTAAGCAAAAAAAATTTCTGGCAGTTCTTGCCAAAGATGGGTGGATTGTTTCCAACTTGGCTGCAAGCTATGGGTTTGACAGGTAGTCATCAGCTGCTGTTTTACAATGGTGACAAGCTTCAGTGGGTAATGAGGAGCACAGACAGCATCCCCCAAGTTCTCAGGCACGTTGGTCTGATTGCAGACCACACCAGCCTATTGTGATCAATGACTGAACCCTTACGTGGGATATCTTTTGGTAGATGGCACCAGTGGAAGTCAATGCATAGATGGTTTCACTGTTTCAAAAGATCATTTATTTCCCTTCCAAATACACACACACACCATGTAGGTCAAGACAATCATTGATATAACTCCGGCATTTCCAAATTTTGCCCACTACATTTAGAATAAAATGTGTCAACATAAGAGGTCTATTTCAGGTGCCTCATTATCTGTGCTAACGGCACATTGAGCTGTGTTCTTTGCTCTGTGCTGGCATATGTATCCCTTCCTCCATGGCCTGGATCTTGAGGTCCAGGCTACATACTCTACACTCACTGCTGAAACAATGCACTGACTTTTATATTTATTCAGGGAACCATGTGACTGTAAGATCCACACGTGGTAATTCAACAGAAAAATTATACTAAACCTCAAAGGGATGGAGCCTTTATTTGAGCTGATACATTCTGAGTAACACTCGTTAGGAAAGTAATTTGGATTCTCCCTTGAGAGATCTGGCTGTGTGATAGGTACATCAGAGATAAAAGGAAGACTAGGGAAATTGTGGGCCCTGTCCGGAAGGAGACGGGAGACCTGGTCACTTGGGATATGGAGAAGGCTGAGTTACTCAGTGACTTTTTTGGCTTGGTTGTCACTGGCAAGAGCTCCAGCTCCATGATCTGGCAATGTGCGCTTGCAGTCCAGAAAGCCAACCATATCCTGGGCGGCACCAAAAGCAGTGTGGCCAGCAGGCTGAGGGAGGTGATTTGTCCCCTCTGTTCTCCTAAGACCCCACCTGGAGCCCTATGTTCAGCTCTCAGGCCCCTGGCTCTCAGGCCCCCAGCAGCGAGCTGCTTTCTGCCCCTGTCCACCACATACTTCTACTGTAGGACTCCTCTGCCTTCTCACTGTAGCAGTGTCCCCAGACAAACCTGTCCCTTTCAAGATCTTCTCCCCACCTCCCTGACAGACCCATCCCTGACTTATTGCTTTCCCTGTTCCCACACCCTGGCTTTTAACACAAGGCTCTGTAATTGTGTGTTGGATGCACAGAGCACTTCCCCTGTGAAATCTCCTGAGCATGCAGCTCCACATCAGGTAGAGCCCAGCTGGGACTGGCCAACTCTCAGACAACTCAACTCTGTGTGAATCAAAGATATCAGCCTTGTAAATCCAGGCACTTACCTGAGCTGTGTGCTTCAGGAGTACACAGCCCAGCTCTCAGCCATTTCCAGTGTTCCCAGTTGTGTGATGGCCATGACAGTGTGGGCTGGTCACCTTTCTCTGCATGGTGTCGTCTCACCTTGATGTAGATGATGCTCAAGCAATCAATTTTCTACATGTGGGCTTCAAAGCTGTGGTACAAGGCTGACCTGCAGTGTATGGGCTTTTTGCATACATGCTGGGTCCCTGCCTGTAGAAATGAGCAGCAGCAGGACTGGTGGTGACACAGTGGCAGCCAGGGACACCCAGGCAGCTGAGAGACCTCCTGTGGCAGATGCTGTGAGTGCACAGCCGTGCAGGGACCAGCTGCTTGCACCACAGCACAACTCAGTGATTTGGGGAAGTTAAAACCGAAGCAAATGAATTACTCAGCATTATTTTCAGTTAGCAACTGAATAGCTTACTCTCTAATAGAAGCAACTGAATAAATCAATTAACAAATGCAACCCCAACTAGCTCACTTGCAGGTATTTAATATGAATTACTCCATGTAACTGCTAACTCTTTATAGAAGAGGCAATTATCTTTACTGCACCTCAGTAATTATTAACTGTAGTACACACCACAGTATTTCAGTGTAAGTCAGAGGACAGTACTGCCAAACCAACCGGCAATGAATGTGGGCAGCAGAACTTACGAAAACAGACTGACATAAAGCAGAATCACCCAGCATAAAACCTGCTGCACTGTCAATGGGTGCAGGACACACGATCTCTCCTTGGATGGATTTTGAATCAGGAATACATTCCCTAACACAGGATTTTGCCAGCAAATGCAGCTTCTACACATTTCAAAATTCCTATAGTAGTTTCCATTCAGTTTTTATTTTGTATTCTTTTTTTTCTTTCTTCTTTTTTTTTTTTATTTTTCTTCTCATTGGAAAAATGAAATAAAATGGTAGGATGATATCACCCAGTGCAAAACTTGCCACTGGGTTCATGTGGGGATGCTTGATGACCCAGTATTTGTAGCTGAGCTGAGACGCAAGTGTGGAGTTCTGCCTGAGTGAAGAGGGTGCTTGCTGCTTAACTCAGACTTTGTGCCCCATCTGTTTCATGATAATCAATTTTCTGAGGAGTCTCTTTAAAGATCAATTAGTTTCTCCTTGTTTCTGTATCTTCACAAGTCCTCTGGGAACTGGAAATTCTCCTACTCTCCTACTCTCAGGTTGGTGCAATCCAGCTCTGCAGGGGATCTACAGCACCATGTGTGATAAGGAGTCTTGGAGGAACAGTCTTGGAGGAACCAGATTAACCCTGCCAGGTGCAGCCAGGATGGCTCCTGAGATCATTCTCTGTGGAACCAATGTCACCTGAAGGATCTGGCTCTGTGACCAGGGAATGTGGCAGAGCTGTGAACCAGTCTAAAGCTGAGCAGTCTGCCAGAAAGTGCATGGTAAGGCTTAGTTGAAGGTACACTGGTCTTGATGGTACTGCAGACAGCTCTGAGGAGTCATACTCCATGCCAGGGACCTGCTGTCTCCATTGGCTTTACCTTGCTTCCATCCAGCCTCCTTGGGACAGTACTGCCAATACTGCTGGAGAATGGGTATGGCCACAGGTCAGGTAAAACAGCAGGGGATTCTGCTTGCACCATGTCCTGAATATTCCAGAATCACTCTCAGGGCTAAGGAGAGCTCTGTTCAGGCTTGACCTTGCTGTTCTAGTCCTGGGCTGATTGGTATGCTGCAAGCTGAGCAGATAAATGAGTGGCTTAAATGCAGCACCACACGAGGAATACATTAGAGAGTCACCATGGAACAATCTCCCCATGACTGGGCAGGACAGAGTGCACAAACCTCACCCCTCACTGCTGCACAGAGACTCGTAAAAACCTTCCTGAATTTGGGGAGAGCTCAATGGATCCCTTGAACTACAAAGGACAAGCCCATGAAACCTCTCTGCCAGACACAGGTGCCCTTTGCATCAAACCCGGGGCACGAGGACCGTGTCAGATTTTGGCTCCAGCACTCTGGAAAGCCATCACCTGGTGTGTTAGTGCCTTCACAAACTGCAGATGAGCATGGTCCCTCTGGCTGAGTGCTGTGCTGCAATGAGCTGGGCAACCCTTCATGTGTGCCTCCTGTCTAGGAGCTGTAGGTTGTCAGAGCTGGCCATGAATCCTTTCTGCATGCTCTCAGCATCACCCCCAGTCCTGGGAGTGGAAAGAAGCAAATGGGCCTTTAGACTTGGGAACAAGAGAGTGTTCTTTTGTTATACAAGTTTTGCCTCAAGCTGAGTGGAGCCTGCTGAAGACCACCTGGAGGAGCCGTTTGCAGCCCCACCAACCAGGTCACCTAGGGCCAAGACAACAATTGAGTGCTACCTGCACAGAGCATGTGCTTTAACTCCTGCAGAATAAAACAGGAGGAATTGAGGTGCAGAGCCACACATGAGGGACGGACTCCTGCGCCAAGGCAATAGGAAGCAGTGGGTTGAGGTTGGAGGGCATGGGGAGAAGAGATCCCATGCTGGAGCTGGCACCAAGAGCAGCTGGAAGTTATGTTTTGAGGTACCTTAGTACCCAGTTTTGCTCCTGGCAGGAACACATGACCAAATGGTGCATTCTGTCTTCAAAAGGGTGTTGAACTGCACAAGGCAGCCAATGCAGGCTTCTGGGTGGGCCCAGGGGCAAAGCTGGGGCTTTTGGAGAAGTGGAGTGGCATTGACAGGGCAGGCATGTGCTTTGCAGGGGTACTGGGTGCACAAGATGTGCTTTCCATGGGGGGTTGCTCTGTTACAAATGCTTTTGTTACAGAACCAGACTGTTGTGCTCTTTCTGCATTCCCATTTTGTGGTCCAAGCAGGTTCTGCCTTCATAAAACTCAGCCACCTGAGACATCACATGGATCAAAGGTGTCCCTGAAAAGAACAGGGAGGTACCGATGGGATCCTGTCCACAGGTTCTGTGGTCCCGGGGCATGGTCCTGGCTAGGTGGTAGTCACCACGGGAGGTGGGCTGTGGAGGTGTGGACAAATGCTGCAGTGCAGAGGAGTGGGGCTGGGGTGGTTTTAAATGCATTGTACTTCTCAGAAGGTGTTTTTGAAGGAAAGTGCAAAAGTGGGTAGATTAAGATCCCGCAGAAGGGATGTACCAGTTTTCCCATTCACAGTAGCTGCTCCAGTCCAGCTCTGACTCACCCACCCCAAGCTCTGCTGATGAAGCTCAGGATGGTCTCAGACATGCAATTGCCTCTCGTGCCCTGCAAACCGGGACATACAGATGCTGACAGAGGTGTTGTGGCCCCTTAGTCTCCTCCCCCCATCCTCCTCTTCTTCCTGGTCCTTATCAGCTGTTCTTCCTTCTCGCACCAAAATTGTGCTGAGTACGATTGCGTTTGTGACCCCTCTTGCGTGGGAGAGGATTTGTGTAATTGATTGGTGTGACAAGCTGCTACCAACCTACAGCGACAGGTTACCCTGCTGTGGTACGAGTGGCTGTAATGAGACAAAATAATGAGCTATTGCGAGGCCACCCCAGCCTGCATGGCGGCGCAGTGACAGATTACTGCTCAGATCTTGCCTTGCACATGCGTGGCGAAGCATCCTGTGGGCACCGTGCACTTTAATGAAGCTGCGATGTGACAGAGGAACCAACCTCCCAGCACAGCATCGAGGGAGGACACAGGGGTCTGTGCTTCGAAGCAGAGGAGCGCTCATTATGGCTGGGATCCAGCCCCAGCACCTCCCCTCCCCTCCTCGAGCATTGCCGGCTCCATTTGTCCCTGCGTGTGCTGCTCCAGAGGCCGCCACGGCAACACGTGTTGGAGTGGGGGAGCAATTACAATAGAAATACAACAGGATGGAAATAAATCTCAGCTGATGCCAGCAACACAGGTAGTTTCTAATTAGCAAGGCGCTGGCTTCAGCTTGTGATTTCATCTGGGGAAAACGAACACTCCCACTGCAGCTCCGTTCAGTTGCTGGCACACACCGGGAGATGTAGCTCTCTGGCACCTTATCTGCCTCCAGACGTCTCTGAAGCCCTCCCTTGTACTGCTGCAGGGCTCCACAATCATCGTGCAGGCATCACAGGCTAAGGAGACAAAAATAGGCTGGGATCGTGAACCTGGCAGAAGTTTCCAGTTGAGTTTTACTCCAGTTTGAGAGCAGATCTGGGGTGGAGCAGTAAGCGGTTTTTCTCCCTCTCAGAGGGGATTTAAACTGATTGCATCAAGTTCTTCCATTAACCACCGATGTGATTAATGTATCCTGTATTGTTATAAAGTGATTCTGTGTTGTAGATCTTCCTGAATGCCTCCTGAATTTATTATTTCCTTGTCCCAGTTGCTATTGGTGACGGCCTTGGTAAAATCCCTAGCAACATATAGAATGCAACATACATGGAAATTAGTTGAATACTTATCAGTATTATAGTCATAAAAGGCCCTATTTATTAAATATATGGCTAAAGTGACACCTTAACAGCCAGGGGTACTAAATGACATGGGTAACATTCATTTGTATGTTGGTACATTGGTATGATAGTGCTCCAGCTACAGTGAACTTTATTACCAACATCAAATTAAGATATATTGTGGGTAACATCATTAGGGCTGGTTGGACTGAACTGAATTTAAATAATGTCTTTAAGATGCAGATTTTTCTGCTGCTTCAAAACACTCCCAAGCTAATCTCCCATGGCCCAGAAGTGCTAGCCAGTGAGCACGAGTCTTCACTAAAAGAAGTGCCCTGGTTTAATGTCCTTCTGCTGAGATTAGCTATAGCTCCTCGGCGAGACCTGGAAGATGATGCTGTGCTGAGTAAATGTTCCTGACATGCAATGTCGGTGTCTTTGCTGGGGTGAATGGAGATCTCAGTATTAAACTCATCACAGGGAAAGTGACAAGATCATTAGAAGAATGCTCCTGATTTGGGGAGTTCTTTTATGTGACAGCCAGAGATAACATTCAGACTGGAAATAGGGAATGTGCTCCTCACAGGGAGAGGAGACAATTACTGAAAGCCACGGAAGGTTTGCAACACTCTGGGACTTAAGAAGCTATCTGATGCTTTTTTCTACAAGAACCACTTTAGGTCAGCCATGTGTTATGAGTTTGAGGCAGGAGTCACAGGGTGAGATTTTTCAGACTGAATCATAGGGAGGTCAGAGGAAATCCTCTTAAGTTTAAACTTCTGATAGCTCCTAGCAGAGGTGGTCACTGGCTCATGACAGCTGTGGCACTGTGTGATGTGTGACTGGAGCCTGCTCTTTTCTGCCCTTGTGGAGGAAACAATAGGTACTTCTTTGTAGGCTCTAGTGAAGGAGAGAATATGCATGTCCTGATGAAAGCTTGATGTCTATGATTGATGAAGAGTAACAAAATGGATCATATGGTTTGAACACAATGGTTTAGAAACACGGTGCTTCAGAACAAATAGTACATATCATTTCCCAGTGAATACAATACCTGAAGGAATTTGTCACCATGGACAGGCAGCCAAGCACTTGGCAAGAGTCAGAGCATGGCCTTTTCTGAAGGAATGAGGCCCCATCAGGAAGACTGGGAAGAGGGATGCAAGGGAACTACTGAAGTTGTTCTGGTCTCTGATCATTAGACACTAAGAAAAGATTCAGTCTGGGAGCAGACTGTTTTCACTTCTCTCTGCACATTCTTACAAAGTGGAAAACTTCGGTGTTCCCACAGCCATTGCTGGATTAATCCATCCTTGCCACTTGGTCCCTATGCCAGGGAGTGGGACAAAGTCTCAAAGTGCTTAGGATCTGTCAACAAAACCATTCTTTCTACACAGAAACGGGGAAATATGGCAGATACTGGTCCTTCCCTGCATGGATCTCTGAAATCCTACCAATTTCATTAAAACTCCTTTGTGTGGGGAAAATTATGATTTACAAATTCTTCCCTAAATCAAGGCCTTAAAAAGAGTCCATGTTTCCTGCACCCACAGACAGAGGCTGCAGGACATTTGTTTCCCAGCCACGAGACACCAGTGCTGGGCTAGCATTGTTTTTATGCATGAAAATCAGAATGAAATTGCAGTTTGCAACTTCAGAGATGTACACTTCCCCATGAAAACCACCCATTGAGGAGCACAGCTCTGCACACTCACTGTGCACTTGGTGGAACAGCTCACTTATTTTTGTGATTGACAGTATAAAGGACAAGAGAGATGGAAAGCTTGGACCTCGGACACCACAGCAACATGCACAGGTAGATGTGCAGGTTGCATTACAGGGCTGGGCAGCTTTCTGTTGGCTCTGCACAGCACCACAGAAACTGGCACCACCTGGATGTGAGCATGTGCAGGTGAACAACTAAACACACTGTCCGTGCTTGCTGGGCTTTATCTTCATCCCAAACTTAAAAAAAAAAAATACTTCTGAAAAAGCTGAATGGTCATTCCCTGAACATTCATTTCTTCTCACTTTTCACTTGCCCAGGCCTCCAGAAGCCTTGCAGAAATACCTTGGAGATCTGTAGATGGAGGATGGGTCTAAGCCCAGCCTATCCCAGAAATGTTACAAAATCCTCAGAGACCCAGACACCTATCAATTAAAACAAACAGAAACCAGGTATGCAAAAATTTTATTTCCTCTTCTGGAAAAGCTGCCTTTGTCTTTCAGGGTTTATACAAAACCCTTCTCCATACACAGCCTGGACCATGGCATGGTTCTTAGGTCACTGAAATATCATGTTCATTTCAACTGTTTCCAGGGGGCAGGAGCACGATCAGAACTTTCCTCTGGTTTGTCAGTTTTTAAAAGCTGTAAGATCAGTTTGAAACTACACTCAGATGCATGTGGGTAGTACCTATCTTAGTTTTTCTCAGCCAAAAGCAGGGTTGTCAACTCACACAGCCTTATCACAAACCACCTGATTTTTTCAGCTGTCAGCTGTGACACTCCCCAGCTTCCAGGTGAGCTTTAAGCAAGGTCAGATGTGCTTCTAAGACGTGCTTGAACTTTAGGGAAGACCCATCACCCATCCCAGCTCTTTGTGTGACTTCCAACAAGTACCTGCAACAAATGGGGAGGAACTGGAGGAGAAAACAGCTGCTCCTCATTTATTTCATAGCTACAATATTAAACACCAGTGAGATAAATGCTGTGGATCCTGCTTCTGTAGCACAGTCTTTCTTTGCCCCAGATTGTAAATTCATTGGAGTAGAGATGCCACGTATTAGAGCAGCGCTGTACTGAGAGGTTTTTCAGACTGAAATAGTCTCACCTTCTCCTTTGATGTGGGAGAAATGGCAGCAAGGTTGTGTTACCCACATAAGTAGGAAAGAATTCAAAAAGAGAGAGAAAACAAACTATCCTTCTAAACCTTCTTAATCCTTCTAAAAACAAGTCTCACCCTCTGGGGACAGTTTCATCTGAAGGGCCTGTGTCTCTTTCAAGGTAGGTGATTTTGCATTCTGCAGTTGGGGTGTTTGACAGCATCTCTCATGCTTTTTGTTGACCTTCTGCTCCCAATCATTTTCTGTAGCAGCAAGGCCACCAACCTCTCCAGCTCCTGCTCCTTGATGCTAGAGGGAGCTCTGTGAACTGAGTGCTGGATAGTTAATAGGGCTCCTGAGGGCTTCCTTCAGCAATGCATGGGCCTGTTTAATCAGAGATTTCCTGGGAAATCATTTTGAAAAAGACTGTCACTTCCTATCTGTGTCTGACCATAAAGCAGCAAGGTCTGGGCAGGGTCCCTGGCTGGGCCCACTTGAGGGTATGGTTACTGATTGTGCTTTCTGCTTCAAGGTTATTATTTGTGTTCTTTATGCATGTTCTTATGTTCTCATTTATGTTATCATTGCATCTATGACCTGATCTCCTATTTATTAGATAGCTATTTACACTTTCTAGTAGTGTGTATTTAGGATTTAAGAAGCATCCCTGCCCAAATTGCAGGCTTCCACTCCTGCATTCCACATCTGGCTTGTGGCAGGGGAAAGGTACCTGCAAGATATGTACACTGGCTATTTTACCTATCAATTTGCACTAAATTGCAAAGGTCCTGAAGCACATCTGGCAGCACTGAGTGCAATCCTGGCAAGACTTGTCCATGAGCAGTAGGAAATCAAAAAGATGCAAACATCTGGTTTGGTTACACATGGAGAAAATCAGAGAGCCTGATGGGTCTCCCACTAAATGGGTGACAGAAAACCAGATTGCTGTGATACAGGAGTGCTGAGTGAGAATTGTTTTAGAAGGGATTATAGCTTGCAACCCCTCTTTTAATGGGCTGCTTTTTCGTCCTGACTCTTCCAGAAACTCCTATGCAGGACATAGGACTGCTCTGCTTGATAATTATGTGCTTTTAAAATCTGTACCAAAAATGTAATTGTTTTTAAATAAAAGCCAAAAATGTGCATGGTACAGTGCTTTTACCGTAATTTTAGGAACTGGAACAGGGTGCTCAGGGAGGAGGTGGAGTCACCATCCCTGGGGGTGTTTAAGGAAAGGTTGGATGTGGTGCTCAGGGACATGGTTTAGTGGGTGATGGTGGTGGTAGGGGGGTGGCTGGACCAGATGATCTCGGAGGCCTTCTCCAACCTTAATTATTCTGTGATTCTTTGATTTCTGTGGTTTTTAACTTGTGAGATCAGGGCTTCTCTGTCAGGGCAGTGTTCTTCAGCAGCTTTGCCTGCTTCCCACCATTTTCCCCATATCTTAGTTTCATTTATCAGGAGTTTTGCATGAATTAAGCAAGCTCAAATATCTCACAGAAGGCCACACATTGCTGATTTAGACTGATTTTGGTCTTGTAAAAAGGGGTGAGGTCTTTGTCCAGCAACACATGAGTAGAGTGTTATAGAGAACACATTCACAAGAATACTCTGCAACAACAACAGCTCTGGTGAGAGGACTAATAGAATTAGGGTAACATGATATGTAGCTCTGGGAGACACAGGCACTGTTATATCCACCTGTAGACACAGACAAGGTCTTCCTACCACATGCATGATGAGGGGCTGTGAGAACGGGAGCTACCAGGGGTCACAGGCAGAATAATTGGCTGCACTGGGCATAGGGAAATCTTGAATCAGGCCCTCGCTGTTCCAAAACCTTGAAATCATTCAACCACAAATCTCCTGATGGTTTTCCGATTATGCGAATGTAAACGACATCCACAAACTCACGCTCATTAATGAACAAGATCTTAAAGAGGGGCCATTCAATGCACAGAGCAATTAACACAGCAGTTGATTAAGGCAGTTTGAGGATAAGTCCTGTGTAGAATTCAATATTGCTGCACTGCTTCATAGAGGTGCTTCTCAGAAGCACAAAATCACAGCAAATGTTTGCTGCTAGCTGCAGACATGCAGGTTTCCCAGAGAGGTAAGCACTGCTCCATCCCCATGACACCTCCTATCCTCCAGCACCCAATGGCACTCAGTTGCTGCACTGATTGCAGAAGGCCCAAATACAGGTGTCATGGGTGTACTACAGAGTGCTGTGGCTCTGCCTTACACACCATCTCAGTAGCACTGTCACATCATTGGCAACTCAACAAGGACAAGGATGCCCTGGTCAGCATCTGTGGTGACTACATTTCTGGTACAGCACTGGGCCTTGCTGAGCAAGGCAGAGACAGCAGGTCCACTGGCCTCATTTTTTCTCTTCCACAGGGTGAAGTTGGCATTGAGTCTCCTGCCATTTGCTGAGTGCTTTGTGTCCCTCAGAAGCAATGTGCTCTCGCAAGCCCTAAGCACTACTGCTACTACGATTGCTAGGAAGGAGAGGTGACTCATTCTCCTAGGAAAATACTGCTTTCATTCAGAGCCTGGAGCATTTCCCAAAAGTAATTAACTAGGAGAAACTGCTAATTAAAAGACCTTGTGTCTTCAGAAGCGTTTGGCAGAGGTGGGTGCCTTCATGCCAGTTCTGAGGTGCTAAGACTGAGCTCTCAGCTCCATGAAGACCATGGCTGGTGCTGCTGCCTGGTCTGCCCCAGCAAGATTTCAGCTGCACAGATGTTGTCTGTCCCGAGCAGTGACAGCAGCTGCAGGGTTTTTTTCTCCCCTGAAGAGAAGAGATCTCTTCAAGAAGTTAACCCTAAGTCTAGGTTTCACAAAGGAGATGTGGGACTGCTTTGCATTCATCCGGCAGGACCCATTTGGATAGCTGCCTGTGAGGGACTTCAGACTGCTTCTGGTGGAGTCAGTTTGGAGACAATGGCTTTGTCAGGAGCTGTGTAACCCCTTGCACAAAGACAGAGAGTCTGAGTGACAAAACTTTATTGTGAGGTGGCATGTGCACTGGTGGTACCTGTATAGACAGAACTCAGAGAACCTCAAAGGTCTCAGCTTCAGGTCTCCTGTGGTTTCTATAATTTTTGTATGTGATGAGGACTACTTTTCTGCAGTAAATTCAGTAGCACTCTGAGGACAGGGTGGATTGGAGACCAACCAACCTGTTTGGGCTGCAGTGGATGCAACAGGGGGGTCTGTGCCCTTAGCAGGGAGCATTTTCCACACAACTGAGAAACCTCATTTGGAAAAGGAGTAGGAGTGCTTTCTGCCTGGCTTCCTGCCCAGAGAGACAGCATGGGACCAGGTAGTTGGGGATAAAGGAGCAAGGGGTTATCTTCTCCAAGACATCTCCCTGCTTCCACAGTGGTGGCTGGGCTGAGCTCCAGATACAGACACAGTGGCACCGAGAGATGTGAATTAGTTACTTCTTTTGTACTGTTCCAGCAATCTATGTTTGGCATTAATGACTTGCAAATGTGCTCAGGTCGTTAAGGTAATAACTCTTGTCACTGTGGGTTCCAGAGAGTGGCAATATCAGAGTATCTTTTACGGACTCAGCAGCCACTACATCAGCACAGTTCCAGCTGTTTTGATCATACTCTTATCATGGCTTGGACGTGAGTACCGTTAGGCAGAGCATAGGCACCTGCAATATCTTTCTCCAGACTATACTATGGATGTGACTATGCATATTGTGTTGGTGATGGGCACCTCTTTAATATCTTTATTGATGACTTGGATGAAGGAATTGTGTGCACCCTCAGTAAGTTTGCAGGTGACACCAAGTTGGGGGGAAGTGTCGATCTGCCAGAGGGTAGGGAGGCCCTACAGATGGACCTGGACAGAATGGATTGATGGGCAGAGACCAATGGCATGACGTTCAAAATGGCTCATTGCTGGGTTCTGCACTTTGGTCACAACAACCCTATGCAACACTAAAGGTCTGGGGGCAGAGAAACACTACAGGTTTTTGGGCAGAGTAGCTGGAAAATGTGCAGAGGAAAAAGATCTGGGGGTGTTGGCTGATGCTCACCTGAACGTGAGCTGGCAGTGTGCCCAGGCCAACAGCATCCAGGCCTCCTCTTCCCTCCCTGCTTGAGAATTAGGGAGAAAGTAGTGGCTATGGGCAAGAAGAGGGTAAAGGACAGCATGATTAGAGGACACTGAATACCTATACTGTACTGGAAGCTGTCACTGGCCACCATCATGCAGGTCTGTCACCTGCCAGCACATCTAGATGCTGCTGTAAAAGCCAAATGAGTCAGAAGCGTGTCTATTCTCCAGCTGCAGCGCCAGCATTAGCAGCCATGTCCCAGTGATGGGAGTCCCCAACTCAGCACTGCTTATTTGTTATCTGGAAAACATGAGATGCAGTAGCAGTACTGCTGGGCTGTGCTTTGGGATGTGTCTGTGTACCTTTAATGGATGATGTAGGTAATCAGACTTCAGAAGAAATTATTTGGGCCCAAGTCTCCTCTTATTCTCTCTGTGTACCACTGCAGATTTCACTGAGGTGACTCCAATTTACACCCCATCAGAGAAGAAAGAGTTAGCTCCTGCATTTTTAGCTGTAGTAAATTATTTTTAGAAACACAACATTCATCATGAAAGCCTCTCTGTCTCCTCCTGCAAGGAAGGACTGAATAATGAATGAATACAGAGCTGGACTAATATCTACTGCTCAGCCATCCATGAGAGCAGACTGAGCAGACTGCATGTGTGCTGCTAGTGGGCAAACTTGCTTGAGTCTGCATCCTGAGAGCACCAGCATGTCCAGAAGCTCTGCCTGCTCCTTGCAGCCTGGCACAACTACAGCCCCTCTCATTGCTCTGACCCACCTCCATTGGGGCATCCGTCCCTTGACTAATGAGATGCATTTAAGCTTAGGCACAAGCCTTTGGCCTTGGCATTGAGCTGTGTTGTGTGTATGCTTTTTACCTAGCTGATTTGACCTTGGTCCTGCCTCATCACCATGGACTTGTCTAGCAATCTGTGCTATTGACCCTCATTACTGTCACTACATCTGCTCCTCTTGCTTGGGTGATGTGGGACTGCTCTCTTGCTGGTGACATTCCTGTCCCTGCCTGCCCCACTGTCACCCCTGGATCCTGGCTTGCCTGCCCTTGGAAAGCAGCCCCAATTGAGGTGCTCCCT